GGATGGATAGGGAAGGTTGGAATTTCAGATGGTCATTAAATGTGAGTCAGCACACTTCTGGTAAGGGACAGCTATAATAGAATTAGGTGATGGGAATGTCTTTCTCCACTGGATCACACCCTTCATTGGTGACACAACAGCCAATGTGATAAAAAAACAATACCTCTCTTTTTTAATGTTACCGATACCATGAATTAAGGGATTATTCAACTCTTTCTTTTACATTAAAATTAGATTTTGCTGAAAACTTTCATTATCATAATAATGACTAAATGAAAGAAAAAGCCTTGATCTTAACCATCAGGACATAGTCCATGATTAAATTTTATAAAAAATAAATTAGACTAATGTTTCTAAATTAGAAAAAAATTCTTTTGCATAATTTTGATCTTTCATAAGGAGTTTCAAAAGTTTACACACTTTTTTTTTTTTTTCAACAAGTCGGCCGTCTCCCACCGAGGCAGGGTGACGCAAAAAAGAAAGAAAATCCCCAAAAAGAAAATACTTTCATCATCATTCAACACTTTCACCACACTCACACATTATCACTGTTTTTGCAGAGGTGCTCAGAATACAACAGTCTAGAAGCATACACATATAAAGATACACAACATATCCCTCCAAACCGCCAATATCCCAAACCCCTCCTTTAAAGTGCAGGCATTGTACTTCCCATTTCCAGGACTCAAGTCCGACTATATGAAAATAACCCGGTTTCCCTGAATTTTTTTTTTTTTTTTTTTGTTTTCAACAAGCGTCGGGGGGGGGTGTCCGTCTCCACCGAGGCAGGTGACCCAAAAAAAAAGAAAGACAATCCCCAAAAGAAAATACTTTTCATACATCATTCATTCACACTTTCATCATTCACACACTCGCAACATTATCAACTGTTTTTTGCAGAGGTGCTCAGAATACAACATCTTAGAAGCATACTACAATAAAGATACACAACAAATTCCTCCAAAACTGCCATTATCCCAATACTGGCCCTCCTTTAAATGGCAGGCATTTGTACTTCCCATTTCCAGAACTCCAAGTCCACTATATGAAAATAACCGGTTTCCCCTGATCCCTTCACTAATTATTACCCTGCTATCACACTCCACCAGATCGTCAGGATCCCCAAGTAATCATTCGTCTCCATTCACTCCTAACTAACACGCTCATGCACCGCTTGCTGGAAGTCCAAGCCCCTCGCCCACAAAACTTCCTTTACCCCCTCTTACCCAACCCTTACAAGGACGACCCCTACCCCTCCTTCTTCCCCTATAGATTTATATGCTATTCTATGTCATTTCTACTTGATCACATTCTCTCTAAATGACGCAAACCACCCAACAACGCCCTCTTCTGCTGCCGCTCTGATAATACTTTTATTAACTCCACACCTTCTCCTAAAATGTTTCCACACTCTCCCCGAATTTTCTGCATAATAATATTACAACCACACATGCCCTTACACAGGACATCTCCACTGCCTCCAACCGTCTCTCTCGCTGCTGCATTTACCACCCAAGCTTCACATCCATATAAGAGTTTTTGGAACTACTATACATTTCAATGACATTCCCTTCTTGGCCCTCCATAATAATGTTTTTTGACTCCACATATACCGCAACGCACACTCGTCCTTTTTTTCCCTCATCAATTCTATGATTAACTCATCCTCATAAATCCATCCGCCGACACAGTCAACTCCCAAGTATCTGAGAAACATTCACTTCATCCATACTTCCTCCCTCCCCAATTTGATATCCAATTTTTCTTTATCTAAATCATTTTGATACCCTCATCACTTACTCTTTTCTATGTTCACTTTCAACTTTCAACCTTTAACACATTCCCAAACTCATACCACTAACTTTGCAATTTTTTCTTTAGAATGTCCATAAGCAACATATCATATCAGCAAAAAGTAACTATGTCAATTTTCCCAATTTGAATTTGATTCCTCATAATTTAATCCCACCCCTCTCCCGAACATCCTAGCATTTACTTTCTTTTACAATAACCCCATTTACAAATATATATAAACAACCAGGTGACCTTACTACATCCCTGTCTAAACCTACTTTACCCGGGAAGTATTCTTCTCACTCTCCTTCTACCACCCTATACCTGAGCCCCACTATCCTCATAAAAACTCTAAACAGCATTTAGTAACTTACCACCTATTCCATATACCTTTGCAACATCTTGCCACCCTGCTTCCTCTATCCGACTGCTAATCATATGCCGTTTTCTAAATCCATAGTATGCAATAAAAAATTCCGTACCTTATCTAAGTACTGTTCACATATATGCTTAATGTAAACACTTGATCTACACATCCCTACCCACTCTGAAGCCTCCCATGCCTCATCTGCAATCCTACATTCTGTCTTACCCTCTAATTCTTTCAATTATAACCCTACTGTATACTTTTCCTAGTATAACTCAGTAAACTTTTTTTTTTTATTTTTTTTTTTCAAACAAGTCCGGTCGGCCGTCTCCCACCGAGGCAGGGTGACCAAAAAAGAAAGAAAACCCCAAAAAAGAAAATACTTTCATCATCAATCAACACTTCACCACCTCGCACATTTATCACTGTTTTTGCAGAGGTGCTCAGAATAACAACAGTCAATGAAAGCATACACATATACAGATACACAACATATCCCTCCCAAACTGCCATAATCCCAAACCCCCTCTTTAAAGTGCAGGCAATTGTACATCCATTTTCCAGGACACAAGTCCCGACATATGAAAAATATATTTTCAGTATAAACTTATTCCTCCTATATTTTTACAATCTCTTTTGTCCCCTTCCCTTTATATAAAGGGACTATAACATGCTCTCTCCGCCAATGCCTAGGTACTCCCCTCTTTCATCCATTTAATAAAACAAATAGTACCAACCACTTCCAACACTAACCCCCCTGCTTTTATTAAAATATTTCTGTCATGATCCCATCAGTTCCAGTGCTTTACAACCCTTTCATTCTATATACGAATGCCTCACGGTACCTCCACCACACTTACATTCTGCTCTTCTTCACTCCAAAAAATGGTAACATCTCCTGGCCATTGCACTGAAATTAACCGCCATCCCTTTCTTCCTCAACAGGTTAAAAGTCCTCGAAATATTCTCGCCATCTACCTAATACCTCCTCCCTCTCCCCATCTACTAACTCCCCTACTCTGTTTTTTTAACTGACAAATCCATACTATTCCCTAGGCTTTCTTAACGTGTTTAACTCCACTTTCCAAAATTTTTTTCTTATTTTCATTAGAAATTTCATGACAGTGCCTCTCCCACTCTTCATCTGCTCTCCTTTTGCACTCTCTCATCCACCACTCTCTTCACTTTCTTTACTCTCCATATACTCTCTCTTCTTATAAACACTCTGCTTTGTAAAAACTCTCAAAGCTACCTTTTTTCTCTTTTATCACACGCCTTTACTTCATCATCCGCCAATCACCTTCCCTTCTCCTGGCCCCCACCCTCCTATAACCCCACAAACTTCTGCCCACATTCAAATTACTGCATTTTTAAAACTATTCAAATATCTCTTCACAACCCCCCCCACTGACTCATCTTTGCACTAGCCACCTTTCTGCAATATCGCTTATATCTCACCCCGAACTTCCTCCTTCCTTAGTTTATAACAGCTTTCCAACATCCCTCTTACTTGTTGTTGGCCACCTTCCTCTTTTCCCATCTACCTCTACTACTCTAACTTGTAGCTACAACTAAATAATGATCCGATATATCAGTTCCCCTCTATAAACATGTACATCCTGGGGCCTACCCATCAACCTTTCCATCACCCAATACATAATTCTAACAACTACTTACATTACGTGCTACATAACATGTATATTTATTTATCCTCTTTTCATAAGACACTGGAACTACAACTGTAATTACTTATTACCAAATTTCTTTCTACACATACTCAATTAAAGGCTCCCCATTTTACATTTACCCCTGGCACCCCCCCCAAATTAACCTACTACCTCCCATCCATAACATTTTTACCCACTTTAGCTTTGTAAATCCACACCAACCATTACTCTTCACAATTGATTCAAAACTCCCCACGCATTCACATCAACCTTTCCCAGAAATCTCTCTCTCTTCCTCCCTCACACTTCTCGTCTTCTCCAGTGCATACACGCTTACTATAACCCACTTTTTTCACATCAAGTCTTTATTTACCCACATAATCCTTGAATTTATTTACATTTGTAGTCCCTCTTGTTCCCTGCCATAGCTTATCCCTCTCAACATTATTGCTACACCGTAATCATCCCATTTATTCCTATCCAATTGAAACTCTCCCACCCCCTTCGCTTTTGTTTCACTTAAAGCCAGGACATCCATTTTCTTCTCATTCATAACATCCACATCATCTCTTCTTATCATTTGCAACAACATCCACGCACATTCAGATTCCCACTTGACAATTTTTTTCTATTCTTTTTAGTAATCATTAACAGGAAAAGGGGTTACTAGCCCATTTGTTCTCCCGGCATTTTAGTGACTTTTACAAACGCATGGCTTACGAGGAAAGATTCTTATCCACATCCCTGAATATAAAAGGAAAAGTACTAAGACAAGAACAATTAAGATAAAATCAAAGAAAACCAGATGAGGTGTGGTAAAATAAACATGTACATGTATGTTAGATGTGACCTAATGTAAGTAGTAGTAGCAAGACATGCTGTAATCCTTGCATATTTTATGAGACAGACAAAAGACACTCACAATCCTACCATCATGTAAAACAATTACAGGCTTTCGTTTTACACTCACTTGGCAGGACGGTAGTACCTCCCTGGGTGGTTGCTGTCTACCAACCTACTACCTTACACACTTACAATTAATAATAAAAACATGCAAACCACACACTCTTCAGACATTTTGAATCACCACCAAATAACATTCTAATTAACAACACTAATAATGATTCAGCAAGTCTCATGAAGTTGTATGTATTAGAGACTGAGTACAGTACTGAGTAGAAAATTACAATTATTAAACCTAAGAGATTAAGTAACAGGAATGGCCTGAAACAAAAATTTAGATTATGTTCATTTCATAGTTGAAAGAGGAATTCACTTCTCAGCAGGTCATCATAACGTCAAAGATGTCTATATAAATAATGCCCTGTTAGATGGACTGACGTTCCATGCAAAACATCAGAAGAAGTACGTACCCATTAAGGTGTTGTGTAAAGAGGACAAGGGTACCAGTTCGTGTAGTTGCAGACAGTGTTACAGCACCTTCTTGTAATGCTGACACTGCCACTGTACCAATGATATCTTTCACCATAAAACTGCCAGCAGGTTCCTCATTCTCACTTAACAAATCCCTGGAAAGGTTTTTTAGGAATACACAAGATATTAATAAATTTAAATGGAAATACTGTACAACATTTAAAAAGTGAGCATAATACTGAAAAATGCAGTTATCCTTTACACAGAACTGAGCTTCATAAATGCATTAAACACTCCATATAATGGACTTCAGAGATATGGAACACAAGCCACTGAGTTAGCCAATTTGGAAATAATGGACAAAGCTCACTGGTTACAGAATTGTCCATTATTTTGACAGTCACTGCAAAAAACTTACTATATTCACCACAATTGCCATTACCAGCCACCCACTTAACCAATTAATCTTATTTAGAGAGAATGGATCAAAGCATATAAATCTATAGGGGAAGGAAAGAGGGGTAGGGGTCGTCCTCGAAAGGGTTGGAAAGAGGGGGTAAAGGAGGTTTTGTGGGCGAGGGGCTTGGACTTCCAGCAAGCGTGCATGAGCGTGTTAGATAGGAGTGAATGGAGACGAATGATACTTGGGACCTGACGATCTGCTGGAGTGTGAGCAGGGTAATATTTAGTGAAGGGATTCAGGGAAACCGGTTATTTTCATATAGTCGGACTTGAGTCCTGGAAATGGGAAGTACAATGCCTGCACTTTAAAGGAGGGGTTTGGGATATTGGCAGTTTGGAGGGATATGTTGTGTATCTTTATACGTATATGCATCTAAACTGTTGTATTCTGAGCACCTCTGCAAAAGCAGTGATAATGTGTGAGTGTGGTGAAAGTGTTGAATGATGATGAAAGTATTTTCTTTTTGGGGATTTTCTTTCTTTTTTGGGTCACCCTGCCTCGGTGGGAGACAGCCGACTTGTTAAAAAAAAAAAAAAAAAAAAAAAAAAAAAATAGGGTTTACTGTACTGCAATTTTTCCTATATGTAAATGCACTATCATCGCCGAGTAATTATATACTGTACTAAAGTGTCTACTTGAAAAATCAAGAAGGCACGACTGGCTACTAATTTGCTTCTCATGCATGCACTGTACTGCCCCTAAGTTAAATAAAACCTACATCTTTCTACAGACTTTCAACATATAGTGTATGGTAATGGCATGGCATGATAAAAACAAAATCTTACACACAACGTGTAGACAAACATTCATCTTTTTAAGTAAAAACTACAAACTGATTAGCTATCAAAATAAGCCTTCCATTATCTATTTAAGCAATTCGTTAAACATGTTATTAAATACTAAATTATATTTATTTAACCCTTTCACTGCTGCGACCCCTGAAATTGTAAGTGCTGAGTGTCACAATTTAAATATGAAAATTATTTTTTTATATGAAAATATAGATTTTTTTCTGAAGGTAATGATGCCAAAAATATTAAGTCTGATTGAAAACTTATGGAATTATGCAAGCGCAAAGATGGCAGTCTGGGCTTAATTAAAACATCAGTGATTATGCCTACTTTATTAAGTCCTTTTTAAGCCAATTTTATTGCTCAATTTGACCAAATTCTTAGATATTTCACTAGTATGCCTTCCATTCTATGAAATGAGCATAAGAAACTGCCTATTCAACTTTAACCCTTTCACTGTCAAGACCCCTGCTCACAAACTTGCTCTCAGCGTTGAAGAATTAAAAAAAAAAAAAATTATTTATCCTTATGAAATCAGAGAATCTTTTCCCAATGGTAATAACACCAAAAGTATGAAATTTGATGGAAAACTTACAAAATTACACTCTTGCAAAGTTAGCGGTCTCGGCGATATTTACACCAGTGATTCTGCCAACTTTGAGCCGTATTTTCAGCCAATTCCATTGTTCCAATCGACCAAACTCATAGCTATTTCACTAGAGCTCCTTTTGTTCTATCGATTGAAAACTGCCCATTTACTGATTTCAACTATCCAATAAAGTGATCAGAAATTGGTAATTTGGCCAATTTCATGTACAATTCAAGGAAGGTCAATTTCAAAATAGGGTCCAGAATTAACAATGTAAACATTCCTAGCACTAAAATAGCATGTTCTCTCTTCATTAGTCATGTCTGCAGGCCCCTCTTATATCAAGCTTGCTTTCCATTTTGAATTTTTATTCACACAATACATAGATGATTTACTGTTATGCAGATTACTGCATTACTGTAAAAATGGTGTAAATAATATCAGCGCATCTGTGAAAGCATATTAGACCCACCAGTTGACATGTATTGGACATTGGACGCATGACGTGATCTGTTTGCTCTTGAATATTGGCAAAAATCAAACATTTCTGCTGCTTTGAGCTTAATTTTGAGGTACTTTTATTCAGTAAACCATTCAAAATCATCTCTAGTTCTGTAATATATCTTCCATTCTATCAAAGGAGACCAAGAAAACGAAAAATAAACTACAAATACAGCATAAAAATACATCGCAAAGTTGCTGTTTGAAACTAAAAATACGGTATTTTTTTCCCATTATGCACTGCATGCTGCAGGATTTTTTTTATACTGCACACACTCACCACTCAGACCCATTCTCTCATATGTAGGCCTACCAGCTTTCTCCCCCAAGATCTGAAGCAGCTAGAATTTTGGTGTACTATTACGGGGCCGACACTGGCTTGCAAGCCATATTACGGGACTGACAGTGAAAGGGTTAAGAACTACCTTATAACGTGCACATAAGTTGGTAATTTGACCAGTTTTACACAAAATTCAACAATGAGTCCAAAAAAATTTTTTTATGTATTCCAACCCTAAAAACAACCTATCCTCTGTTCATTAATCAAATCCCCAGGTCTCTCCTGCATTACGTTTGCCCTCCATTTCGGAGTTTCTCCACAGAAGACAGTCAATTACATAAACACTTACCAGGCATAAATAAACCTGTCTTCTTGTGATGAAGAGATAACATATCTTGTGGGTGCATCTTTAACTAGGAGAGGCAGAAGCTGTGTCACTAAGGAGGTATGGCCTGTATATGAATTTTTCAAATTTACTGTACCACTTTTTCTGAGTAATGCTATAACTTCAATACTACGACTAGTCACACAAAATAGTTTCTTAGTCAATGCACAAATAGCACCTCCACCATTCACCTCAACAGACCTGAGATAGTACCAAAAAATTCATATTAATGGCAAATGTAAGCACAATACATATATCCTTAAAATAATAATTAAGCCTGATTGTGCTATAATGCATACGCTGAACTGCATGCATCAACAGCCTAACTGATCGTGTCAGCAAGCAGGAGGCCTAGTCCAGGAATGGGACGCAGAGGCCATCAATGACCCATGAAATCATCTCCGTGTAATTTCCATCACTCCTTACATTGAATGACCCCCATACAACTAGCACTTCCATGTTTGCTGAATAAATCAATTCATCTATGTGGCAGGCAGCCTTGAAAATAAATAATTTTTCAATAAAAAAATGTTCAAGCTCTGCCACACTAAAAAAAATTCATATTCTTGACTAGTCTGTAACCTTGATGTGAATCAAGAGAACAACTTTAGTACTAGTTAAATTTTAATTCTGTCTCAAAGAGGCAACTTCAGATTTGTATTTTATCATTTTTTATTTTGTTATAACAGAAATCAACAATTACATATGTGCAATGTTATGAAAATTTACAAATTCTGCAAATTTACACTGATGAGCATACGTACACAATTTTTTCTCCTGAAGTTACATCCCATTCTACAAGTGTGTTATTTGCTGCTAGAGAGTAGAGTCTTTCAGTAGTGTGCCAGGTAATGTCTAACACTGCATGAGGGGGAGCATGATCCAGTGTAGCAACAATTTCTCTCTTTTCCGGGCTGTAGATGAGGATATTTCCTGCTAATGTTCCCATAGCTAAAAGATTACCTTCGCTGGCTTCTAAAGATTTCACTGCTGCTTTCTTTTTTTCCTTCTTCTTGATGGATAAAAGGTGCAAAAAAATAAATAAAAGGTTAAAAAAAATTATGCTGATTTATTAACCAAATAATACGACTAAAGTACACCACTCTACAAATATTAACTTAAAGAGGTATGCACACCATGTACAGTACTCTCTCATGAACACATAATGGAAAGTAACTCACATATTTTAAATACAACAATAATAAACCTTGATATGTTACTTATTACCCATTTTACAAGCTGATCTATGCTGTGAAATATTAACTAAAATACTGCCAATGGCTGTCTTTTTTTTTTTTTTTTAATTACAGGCCACAAGTTGACAAAACTTTTCAATGGGCCACATTATCTATCTTTCAATCCCTTGAAAATCTATCTGCTATCTTTGAAACGTCTAAATGTTATACTCTACATTATTATTCTACAACACACACTAAATTCAATTACATCTCTCAATGCTCACATTGTTACACCATTTCATAAATTAGTCTTAAAAATAATTTTTTTACCTCAGTACTGTCAAACAATAAAAAGGAGACTCCCCAACATTACCTGGGGTGAATATCTGACACATGTTGTGGTGGCAGTGAGATGTTCAGATGGTTGGTACTCATGTTCCAAAATCCCTGATATCGTGTTCCATATCCTTAGTATACCATCTGGACCACTGTGTGCAAACTTCTCACCCGTTGGTGAGAAATTCATGAGTTTCACTGATGCCATTACCTGCAAAATATATAAAAAAAAAAATCTAATTTTAGCTCAATAACAGAAGTGTATAAGAAATATATTTGTAAAAATATAAATATATATTTTTTTAAGATTCCAGCTGTCTCCTACCGAGGTAGGGTGACATATCTAAAAAATATACATAAATGATTGCAAGAACATGCACACACATACACTGTATATGTGTTTTGAGATATATATAGGGACTCTGAGGAAATCATATCCTTTTAAATGATTGCAGGGATACTTATTCTAGGTCAAGTTACAATAAGTCACTTCATCTCTAAAAACTAAATGGAATACGTAATATGATTAGGTTATGAGTACATATTACTTTTAAGCACAGTACTGTTGTTCTTTTGTATATTGCTAACAATAATAAAAAAAACACCAAAATAGGATGATAAATTTGGAAACAAGAGAACTTCAGGATAATTTAGATAGGTTAGTGTTTAAGGTAGTACCTTGGGATACATATTTAATTCGTTCCTTGGGATACAAATTTAAAGCCTCCTGTTGTGGGTTGCATCCTGGGAAAGAGAATCTATGGACCTCAATTTATTTATTTATTTAGTAATTTAAGCATACATACAGAGGTACAAAAAATACAGGTAAGAGCAGCATGCCAAAGCCACTTATATGCATAGCATTACGGGCTGGCTTAAAATTAACTTAAGATTAACTAAACAATGATGAAATCAGTGATAAAACATTATTGTAAACAGATAACTATAAAGCACAAATGAGTATTACAAAGACAGGTCATATGGTTGCATGCATTGCTGTACATTCAGTCGAATGGAGTATTCTATTAGGTAGTGTATTTAAAAAAATAATAAAGTTGATTGGTCCTAGGTTTAACATTTGTGTGATATAATTGTGAGTAACATATAGGATATACAATTTATAAGGTTCAGTTATTCAGTATTATTTGGTTTTGAGTGAGTAAGTGATCTTTGGAAGAGACTTGAATTTATAAACAGGTAGTGTTTCTTTTATATTTACAGTAATGAATTCCAGATTTTAGGGCCTTTTATGTGCATTGAGTTTTTGCATAGCATGAGATGGACACGAGGAACATCAAAGAGTGATCTGTGCTTGTGTTATGGTCATGTGTTCTGTTGAGGTTGGCAAGATGTTTGAGGGGAGGGTTAATATCAGAGTTAAGTGTACTATGTATGTAATAGGTGCAATAGTAAGTATGGATGTTTTGTATGGTGAGTATGTTGAGTGTTTTGAATATTGTGGAGTGTGTTGTCTGTAGTGAGAATTTGTTATCATTCTAACTGCAGCCTTTTGTTGGGTAATTAGTGGTCTGAGATGGTTAATTGTTGTTGAGCCCCATGCACAAATTCCATAGGTGAGATAGGGGTAAATAAGAGAGTGATAAAGGGCCAGGAGGACTGACTGTGGAACATAGTACCGTATCTTCGATAGTATGCCTACAGTCTTGGAAATTTTCTTAGAAATTTGTTGTATATGTGTATGAAATTTGAGTCTATTATCGAGGTGGATTCCTAAGAATTTTCCCTCTGTTAGCTTTGTGATAAGTGATCCATTTATTGTTATGTTAAGAGGTACATCTGTAGCTCTGTTACCAAACTGAATGAAGTAGGTTTTGTCAATGTTTAGTGTAAGTTTGTTAGTCCTCATCCAGGTAATATTTTCTGTAATTCGGTGTTTTTACAGTATTGGCATAGCGTGACTGGGCTCGGGTGAGAGAAGACGTATGTAGTGTCATCTGCAAAAAGTGTGGGTTTGAGTAATTGCGAAGCATTTGGTAGGTCATTTATGTATAGGAGAAAGAGAAGAGGGCCAAAGACACTTCCCTGTGGGACACCAACTGTAATTGGTTGTGCGGAAGAGCTTGCCCCATTTGCGTACACATATTGGCTTCTGTTGCTGAGGTAAGACTTGAGGTATTTGAGGGAGTGCCCTCTATACCATAGGTGTGACAAATTTTACGTGGGCAAGTTCATGGTCAACTGTTATCAAAAGCTTTACGTAAGTCAATAGATCCCCAGTGGGACTTCTTTTTCTCTTTTTTTTTCTTCTATTTACAGAGTATATATTGTTCTAGCATGTGTTAATAGCATCATTAGTATTTTTATTAGGCCTGAATCCAAAATTGGCAGGGGTTGAGAATTGTTTATGGCAGATGAGGTAGGAGTAGATTCGTTGTGAATTAAATTTTTCGAAGATTTTTGAGAGAGGGTTGTAAATTGGATACTGGCCTATAGTTATTCAACTCTGTTTGGTCTCCTCCTCTATGGATGGGGTGACCCTTGTACTATTTTGAGAATGTAGGAAGGTGGTGGATTCAATGGATTTGTTAAAGTGTTGCAATGATTGGTGATAGTACTTGTGATGCTTTTTTGTATATAAAGGGTGGTAAGGTATTTAAAATCTCCTGCCTTGTTTTTCATGTGCGTTGTGATAATAAGGGAGTCTTCGTATGGGTTGTCGGAAGATAGGAACAGTCTGTGTTCGGGTAGCTGCAGTGAGGGTAGTTACATTTGGTGGGGTATCTGAGCTTCGGATTTTATTGGCAAGGTTTTGACCTTAGTGGAGAGAAATCATTGAGTCTGTTTTGCTGTTTCTGTTGGTGGGAGTTGGGGTTCATCTGATTTTGCTATTTATTTCGCTATGTCGTGATTTCTTTTTGTTCCCAGAATTTCTGATTAGGGTTTCCAGGTTCTTTTTTATATCACACGTAAGTTGGATAATCTGTTCTCATATACAATTTTTTTCCCTTTCTTATCAAGGCTGGTTAGGATTGACGAGTAAGTTTTGTTTGGTCTCTGGTTATGTGACGCATTTCTGTACTGTTTTTCATTCTGGTGTTTTGTATTTATGGATTGAGGATGCTGGGTGTTAGCAGGGACTGTTCAGTCTCTTAGATGTCATCTGTTTAGTTTTTTTGGGCAGTGCTTGTTATAATGGTATTGGGTCTTTTTCCATGCGAAAATTATTAAATACATTCATCAAGATCTGTATAGATTTCTGCTCAGTTGTGCCAGTCAATGTTTGTTATGCTGTTGTAAAGTTATTAATGGCTGCCTCATTGTGAGTCAAAGGGTGACTTTGTGTGTCTTGGGGTATTTTCCCAAGAGTTAGAGGAAAGTAGGGTAGTGGTCTTGGTTTTATCTGTAATTATCCCTGATTTTAAAGGGGATTGGGTTTTGGGCCCAATTTGGTCAAGTAGGGAAAACACTAGTCCCGTAACTCTTGTAGGTTTTGTTACTGTTGGCAGCAAATGCAGTTACTCTTTTTTTGTAAAATTCGTAACGTAGGGTCCTGGTTTTTGCAGGAGATTTATATTGAAGTCCCCTGAGGTAGTAAGTGATCTTTGGCATGCGTGATCGTTCATACCCCTAGGTTTTGAAAATTGGTTAATGTTGATTGTGGAACTTGTAGATGTTTATCACTTTTGAGGTTTTGTAGGTTTTGGATTTGAATTAGCTATTATTTTTCCCCTGTTTCCCTTGTGCAAGTATTGTGATAGTTTAGTTGGGCTGATAGTATTAGCTGTGCCCCCCCCTTGTTGGTCTGGCCCCACGGGTTGTGTAGGCTGTGTAACCCGGAATGGGAAGACATCTGTAGTTAGGCTTTAGCCAGGTTTCAGTTGTGTAATGATGGACATATTCATGCAAGGGGGAAATTTAGTTAAAGCTAGGAGGTCATCATAGTGCTTGCTTTAAAAATCTATATTGTAGTTGTTATGTGTGTTGGCTCTGAGAATGCCTTTGATTTTTTTCTGCTGGTAGTAATTACAGTAATGTTTGAAATCATTAAGTCATTAAAAAAGAGGTTGGTATCGGGTCAAGCTTTAATTATAAGTTTGTAGTGAATCTTAGTTAGAATTAAAAATATAAAACAGACATAATGACTTTAAATGGGTTAATAATTCTAACAAAAGCTTCATCAAAGACAAGCACCTCACACATTAGTAAGTTCATTTGGGCACAGTTACACATAATACAATTATCATACATTGTAAATAACCTAGAATATATTAACACAAATATCTGCGTTCATCTCTGGAAGGTCTCCTTGCCGCTGTTATAACAACCCCCCACAATTATCAGACTGACTCCACTAACCTGGTGTGACTCTGGTGATAACTGCCAAGCCAACAACACTCACTTCAACTTGTTAACAGAGAAATACAGTCGCAGAAGAGAAAACCCGTATGGAAATAAGTCACTCTGTCTGACTTTTTTGGGCTATCCTAGGTTCTCTACACATATGCTGCTATGTATGATAATTCTATGTAACTGTATTTGCGTATACCTGAATAAACTTACTTACTTACTTACTAAAGTTGCGTGGAATACACACGCGGTGGCGTGAACACAACAGTGAGGCTGCCATCCACAGATTCAATCATCTATACACATATGACAGTTACTGGAGTCTCTTTTAAGAGGTTCTTATTCTTTATATTATCTTTTTGATTCCCTTTTTATTTGTGACTTTGTCGTCTCTGATCTCCTTTCATTGCTCGTCTCTTTATAACACCTCATTTTCAATTCTAAGGTGTTATTTGGTTTTATTTGGAAGATTTTGCAAGTGGGTTGTGGTTAGAGGGAGAGTAGCATCCTGGCGGGTGTAACAACCCACTCTGGGATGTAAGAATATTAGAGTATAAGATATGTCCAGGTAAATTCCGAAAATTCGGAAAAAAAGATACCTAATTCTTATTAAGTTAATTTAGGTACAGGTACGCTTAAGTACAAATTATCATACCTGGTAACATGTTTCAGATACCTAGGATAACCCAAAAAATCATACACAGTGACTTATTTTCACTGGGGGCCTCAGTTGTTGCAACATCCCCCCAATGAAAAGCAGGGGTGTCACTAGCACGTTAAGAGACCATACAATAAGTGTCAGGGGCCCGAGACTGTTCAACTGCCTCCCAGCATACATAAGGGGGATTGAAGATTGAGACACTTATGCAGCATATGGGAATCTTTATTCAGGAAACGTTTCGCCACACAGTGGCTTCATCAGTCCAATACAAAGAGGAAGGCGTAAGGAGAGAGGAGGAGGTGAGGTAATCAGTCCCTCAACCTGGAGTCGATGTGTTCAGTCCATCAATCTTGTAGAATGTACATTCTACAAGATTGATGGACTGAACACATCGACTCCAGGTTGAGGGACTGATTACCTCACTCTCCTCCTCTCCTTACGCCTTCCTCTTTGTATTGGACTGATGAAGCCACTGTGTGGCGAAACGTTTCCTGAATAAAGATTCCCATATGCTGCATAAGTGTCTCAATCTTCAACTTGTCGGTTTTTCAAACCATTCATCACATAAGGGGGATTACCAACAGACCCCTGGCAGTCTTCAAGCTGGCACTGGACAAGCACCTAAAGTCGGTTCCTGACCAACCGGGCTGTGGCTCGTACGTTGGTTTGCGTGCAGCCAGCAGTAACAGCCTGGTTGATCAGGCTCTGATCCACCAGGAGGCCTGGTCACAGACCGGGCCACTGGGGCGTTGACCCCCGGAACTCTCTCCAGGTAAACTAACCCGGGATTGTATGTCATTGTTATATTCACGTAAGAGCATAAAAATGGAAGAACACTGTAACAGACTTACCAACCCATACTATGCAAGTCTCTCAAACCCAAATCTTCTAACAAAAATGTTGTTCAACCCATTCTCAAAGCTTTGATAGTCCTCCTAACTCACTCTGCATGTCCCACTTAAACCCAAACCCTCTCACTCATGTATTTATCCAACTTATTTTTGAAGCTTCCTTAAGTTTTGGCTTCAACGACCCTACTAAGTAGATTGTTCCACTCGTCGACAACTCTGTTTCCAACCAATCCTTTCCTGCATCCTTTTAGAACCTTATTTATCTTCTTTATTTATGACCGTCTTCCACTTATACACTTCAGTCAAGTTTCCCCTTATTCTACGTTTTATAAGTGAATGTAGGTTAATGTAAATGAATTGAGTCTTTTGATATTCCTGTAAGTTATTTTCTTATCTCCGCGGTAATCCGTGGCCTGGTAGGCATCGCTCTCGCTTTCCATGCTGAGTGTCCGTGGTTCGATCCTCGGCAAGGAGAGAAACATTGGGCTTGTTTCCTTACACCTGTTGTCCCGTTCACATAGCAAGCAAGTAGGTACCTAGGTGCTAATCGACTGGTGTGGGTGGCATCCTGAGGGACAAGATTTGAGGACCCCAATGGAAATAAGACGGACAGTTCCTCGATGATGCACTGCCTTTTTTGAGTTATCCAGGGTGGCTAACCCTCCAGAGTTAAAAATCCGAACAAAATCTTACATCCTAAAGATTTCATATCTTTAAGATGTTCGACCATTTTCGGATAATTTCTATTCGACTTTGTTTCTCTAAATTGAATAAATGTTCTTCAGACATCATGTCCAGTGTTCAGAAAAAATGTCATATTGGTAACTGTCTTCGTCGCCCTGTCCACACATGATAGGTGTACTCTAAGCCCTTTGTAATCTGTTTAATGAAAATCTAAAACCCTTATCGAATTACATGTGCTTATATACTTATACTCAACGTAAAATGTAATCGATTTGTGGTTGCTAGTGCAGAGTTCCTTTGTAATCTCCATATTATTAACAAGGGTTTCTTTATTGGCCAGAATTAAATCAAGGAAGTTATTTCCTCTTATTGGTTCTGTCACAAACTTCTAAAAAACAGTCTTAAATTATCTCTAGGAAATCGTTGGACTGTAGATTCCCAGTCAAGGAATTCCATCCAATCTGAGTAAAGTTTAAATTTCCAAGAATTACTATGTTATCGTGCCTTGAAGCCTTAACGATTTCCTCCCCAAGAGCTTAGGGGACATCACTGAGTCAGATAATAGGGCTGATCATATTACCATTCATAATGCGGTCAAGACGGCTAACAATATCCTCCATCCCAGCCCACACAATAATAATAATAATAATAATAATAATAATAATAATAATAATAATAATAATAATAATAACAATAATAATAATAATAATAATAATAATAATAATAATAATAATAATAATAATAATAATAATAAAGTTCCCGCAGTGTATCACAAACTTCCACACTGTGTATCACAAACTTCCACACTGTGTATCACAAACTTCCACACTGTGTATCACAAACTTCCATCCTCCTTCTCTCGTCTCTCGCAACGTCTTCTCATTAAAGTTATTACGCGAGTAATTTGCTCTCAGAATCACGTGTAATAGATTTTCCATTAGCGAAGTCACGGTGAAACGTGGGGGCGGCGCCCCCCACGGATAGGGAAGTTGTAAAAAGCTGATAATGTACAAGTAACAAGACTTTCATGTAAAACTGAGGTTATTTCTTAGATTTATGTGTTAATTTGGTTAGGGAAAATACAGAGATGAAAGCTAAGTAGTGACCCACATGAAGCAAGAAACGCGGGGCGGCATCCATGCATTTCGATCATGGTTACCTAAATTTAGAGTATGTACAGTAACAGCCTGATTGATTAGGCCCTGATTCACAGCAAGGCCTGGTCACGGACCGGGCCGGGACGGAGTTTACCCCCGAAACCCCCTTCCAGGTATACTCCAGGTAGGTATACTCTCTCCTGGGCAAAAATAATACCAGGGGACTCCTAGTATCATTGTGGAAAATTGCATTTACTTGGATGTATCATTATATACATAACAGTAAATGAACATAGATAATTATTATTTATCAGTTAGACAAGTAGGAATTTGGGAGACCTAGGTCGCAAAAAATGTCCCCCTTCGATACCTACCACTGTCATAACCACAAGTTGCTCTGGACCTATTAATTATAAATGAAATATACATCACCAGGAATGCTGGTAAATATATAAATTTGTGGACTGTATATTAAATTAAAAAATGATTATATATAAACACATTTATATAACAGAAGGAGAATATATCTTAATCATAACACTCACCAATTTGACTGGAGATTAATTTGTATCATACTCAGAAAACCTCACTGTCTATACATGAAAATAACAACTGGCCAGAGTTATAACATAACAGACTTATCTGAGGTTCCTGGAGCTGTCTTATCCTGTCGCCTGATATCTCAAGTTATGCAGGAATGCACATCCAACAATTTCGCCTCCTATTTGAGAGGTGTCAACCCAATTTTAACCTCTAGAGCACGAAAATTCTTCACATTATTAATTAACGTTTTACTCCATTCAAACAAAATGGTGACTGTAACTTCTCCCCAGGCTCAATTTCCCATTTTCTATGACATAAATGTTATTAAATACAGTATGGCCATCTATATACATATAAATACTGAATTTCTGGAAAATATATACAGTATTTTCCACAATCATGGAGTCAAGACTGTTTTTATTGTAACGACGATGGTGATTGGCTGACGCAATTAATTGCTGTTACTTTCTGTGAATCTACATAAAAGTAGATTTATGAATGCAGATATGAATTACCGTTCGGATGTTATATCCAGTATTATAAAACCATAAAAAATATTTGAAAATGTGACGGAATGTATTGTACAAGAGGTGGTATAATTGATAACAGGTCCATAATTATCATACATCAGTCATATCTTCTCAAGTGGATGATTACACAACACACACACACACACACACACACACACACATAATCTATATATAGATATATATATATATTATATATATATATATATATATATATATATAAACACTGATCTCTGGCTGAAGGAGACTCGAACGTACGAACCTTGGAACAAGGTACGCAGTGCTGTACCATTCTCACTACACTGGACCAATATCTTGGCGTCCAGCTTGGGCTAGACTTTGATCCAAGGCAGCCAGCTTTCAGGGAGAAGGCTTACAGCTTTTCATCTCATCCCCTGCATGCATCAGCATTACTAGAGATTTTAACAATGCAGGGAATTCGCAAGAGAAGGCGAAATATACGCAAATATCACCTACAGCCGGGCTGTAGCTCGTATGTTGGTTTGCGTGCAGCCAGCAGCAACAGCCTGGTTGATCAGGCTCTGATCCACCAGGAGGCCTGGTCTCAGACCGGGCCGCGGGGGCGTTGACCCCCGGAACTCTCTCCAGGTAAACTCCAGGTAAGCCTTTTCCCTGAAAGCTGGCTGCCTTGGATTAAAGTCTAGCGCAAGCTGGACTCCAAGGTATTGGTCCAGTGTGGTGAGAATGGTACAGCACTGCGTACCTTGTTCCAAGGTTCGTACGTTCGAGTCTCCTTCAGCCAGAGATCAGTGTTTGTGTATATTTCGCCTGCTCTTGCGAATTCCTTGCATATAATATATATATATATATATAATATATATATATATATATATATATATATATATATAATTATATATATATATATAATGCATAAATCGCGAACATGCTATGCAAGATGCAAAATAGCCACA